GGCTAATTTTTGTATTTTTAGTTAGAGATGGGGTTTCATCATGTTGGCCAGACTGGTCTCGAACTCCTGATCTCAGGTGATCCGCCTGCCTCGGGCTCCCAAAGTGCTGGGATTACAGGCGTGTGCCACCGCGCCTGGCTACAAAACTGCTCTTTTTAAAACATCTTTTTTTGAGACATGGTCTCACTCTGTCACCCAGGCTGGAGTGCAGTGGTGCAGTCTCAGCTCACTTTGGCCTCTGCCTCCCAGACTCAAGCAATCCTCCTGCTTCGGCCTCCAGAGTAGCTGGGCCTACAGGTGCACACCACTGTGTGCGGCTAATTTTTGCTCCCGCTTAGCTGGGATTACAGGCACTCGCCACCATGCCCAGCTAATTTTTGTACTTTTAGTAGAGACGAGGTTTTGCCATGTTGGCCAGGCTGGTCTCGAACTCCAGACCTCAGGTGATCCCCCCCGCCTCGGCTTCCCAAAGTGCTGGGATTACATGTGTGAGCCACCACGCCAGGCCCCAAGGGCTCACTTCTAACTCACTTATCTCACCCCGGCCCAGCGAACGGGCCCAGCCCTTACCAATAGCAAACTCCACCAGGGTCTCGTTCTCCTCCGACAGCGAATCGAGAAATAAATCCAGGACCTGCAGCTGCCGCAGATACTCGTAGTTGCTGGGGTCATAAGCGAAGTTGGCGAGGTTGGCGAGGACTTGCTCCTTGGCGTCTGCAACGGGAAAGCGGCACTGGAGCCAGGTCCGGGCGGCGGTCACAGCCGACCCTGCCACCTGGTCCCACCGTGGCTCTCACCTTGGCTCTGGGTCTCCTGGAATTCCGTGACCAGCGCCTGCAAGTATCCCAAACGCCCGACGTGGGGGTCCACCTTCGGCTTCTGGGCCATGGCCGGCGTGACGGAGGACCCCCAGGGACGGGCGGGAGGGTGGGAAAGGTGCAGGGGGAAAGCCGAGCGAGACCCTCACCCACTCTCCACCTGTCTGGCGAGGGAAGACGCGGGGACGGCAAACGGGTTTCTTTCTTGGGTTCAGACTCTGCAGTAATTTGCAGCTGGAAATGGAATGTGGGGAGATGGGCCGGGGTCTCAGAATCCTGTAGGAGTTGGGTCTGAAAATCGAAATTGGGGCGCGGGAGACAGGGAACCATCTGCGGGTTGGGGCTGGCGGAGTGGGTACTGGCGCCCAGTCCCCGGCTGCCGGGCTCGGTTCCAG